TCCGGCTGGCGGCACGCGGAAAAACATTCTCCAGCAAGACAACCTATGAGCGTGAGGTGGAGCTGAATTTGGATCTAATCCGGAAGCAGGCCTCTCGACCTGTGCCTTCTCTCAGCCCGACTGATCTGGCAACCCATTTGGATGATCTGACTGACTACTGTGCTGAACGCATCATAAAAAAAGCCAAGTCCAAGGAGGCTCTTCGACAGCGTATCAGCGAGACTCATGCCGATCTGCGCGACCTCTCCTTACTAGATGCCAAGCTCAGGTATATTCAGGACTGGCAACGGCTGAACCACTTCGGTCGCTCCTACTTTATCGTGCAATTCGATAAGGGCAACAGTTTCGGCCTCGGTGTTAGCAATTCAGGTCTCTTTGGAAACCCATCTCCTCCCGAGGACATCCTCGCTGTCCGCCAGGGTCGCATCGAGGTCGTCTCGTCTACCTCAGAGGAAACACAAATGGCCTGGAATTTCACCAATATGCGTTGCTGGAATGTGAACTGGGACAATGGACGCGTCGTTTTGGAGTTCAGGAACGGAAAAGTCTCCTTCAGGCCCCTTAGTGCCAACTGCAAGACCGTTATGGAGTGTATCGGTGGCTATGTTTTTCTGAGTCAGCGTACACCGGAGAAGAACCAAACCATTGATGAACGCGTCTTTCACAAACTCACGGGTGGCAATGATTAGGCCGCTGCGTTTCTCTATGCCTCGGGCTCCTCCTTTCTTGCCAGTGCGTTGGACTTGTCTTTCCTGGTCATGCCCCTCACCAGAGTGCAGAATTTTCGGCGTATGCATTACCGTCCCCCATCTGCTTTCGAAATGCCAAGATGTAGTAATTTTAAGTATGCAGGTTCACCCATTTCGTCCCCTTCCCCCTTTCCTCCACAAAAACGCATCAAACTGGCCTCCGACACCTTAAAGACCCTGGTAGTCAACGCGTGGCAGTTCGTCCGTGTTGCTCGGGGATGGCTATACACCCACATGCCTTCCTGCTGCGCGCCAACCGCACAAGTATACACCCGCCTCCGCGACTTCTACTGATTGCTTGCTTTGCAGCTTTCCTCTTAAACCTCCATAGTTTTGCAAAAGAATATTGGCCCTTCGGACTCCATCTTGTGTTTGCGCGCTTTTATTTCGGTACCCCCCTTCGACTTTAGGCATGACTGCCTTGAAATTCTGAGGAGAAAAATCGGTGAGGAACTCTAAAGAATCTTATTTTTTCTTATGTTCCTTAAACGGTCACCTGTTTATTTGCTACGTTTTTAACTGAGTCCTCTTTGGTTTTTTTTTTCCTGAAAAGGTGTCTGCTGTTAAATTATCCCTTTGTCAAGACAACTTTTTTGATCGCCTTCCTTATACATGTATAGACAAGGGTTAGTTAGTAAGGAGTGGAGCCTAGGAGAATTGAAAGTTACCTGGCTTGTATTTCGGTCGCCGTTTTATTCTCCTTTGGATCTGGTGCCCTCGAGGGGGGTCATATATGACCATTCGAAAGTCGATTCGGATAAGATCCATCGTGTGCAGGGAAGGTGACTTGCGCGTGATCTAGTTGATATTGATGGTACACTTGCGCTGTGTCAAACGCACCCCTCTCTTCCCCAACTTGGATCCGGAGGAGTCGAGCCGAGAGATGGCTGGTGCGGCAAAAACCCACCCCTAAGCGTGCCACTGCACCGGCTTGGATCACACCGAGCGGGAGTGCCATAGAGACCACTTTAAGACGGCGCCATTGCGACCTGAATCCACACAGACACTCACAGGGCTGATTGCAAAATCCAAGCTACACCCTGTCAATTGGCAACCCTCCAAGTCACGGTTTTAGCCCACCGTGGTAGATTCAAGTGTGGTGTTAGGGCAGTCGACTCCGCTCTTTATCCTCACTCACAGACACCAGTCCATTGCCCTAGTCGGTCAGTTATCTGGTGCAGGGAATGGGCGCAGTGGCTAGCAGAGCTAGGGACTGCCAGTCCGCGTTTGCCACGCACACGGCCTGGCCTTCAGACTTCAAATGTGTTATGGGGCCATAGAGGCTACATGAAGGAGGAGGCAGAGACCACG